CGTATGTGAGGCATGAAAGGACATAAAAGTTGCAGCTCTCCAGCTCTTTCAACTCCGAAGTGCATAATGCATAAGCGGGAGTAAAAACATTGCTCCCGCTTATGCATTATGGACGGAGAGCGAATGTACTAAATGTTTTCGAAACACCTCCATTACCACAGAATGTGTAGAGGATGTACGTATATTTACATGTATGTATGTACGTGTGTGTATGTGGAAACCAGAAAAGTCGGTAATCACAACAGCTATGAAGCTGAAATTTTAGGAAGGTGTTACTTGCCCATGTGTGATTCCAAAATTATTATTTCAGCCTTCCTTTGACCCCCGGTGCCAAGTGCGGCCCCGTAAAATTTTTGCTACGCAATGTTTTTATCTCGGGGATTATGAAAGCTTGGAAAATAGAGGGATAGAAGGGTTTTACTTGAATAATCATGTGGCTGATTTGAATAGTCATGTAATTGATTTGCAAGACGGATGAATGAAAGAAATAGATGTAAGTGAAGGAGCAAATAAAGTGAGAAAGGAATGAAAGAAGGGAAGTTAAAACATGATAGGGACAATCATTATATTTAATTGTTAGGAAGAGCCGTTTATGAGGATGGACTGCTGACTAAGCGTTTAATTTCTAAATCATCAGAGAAGATGAATTTGCTCAGTAATGATCGGTTCCTGAAGCAAAATCTGAGAACAGGTCGTTCTAGTTCGGCAATATCAAACTTTTTTTGGTTGTAGATACTTATAAGCCGTCTCACCCAATACTGGATGCCTCTGGAAGTTGAAGCTTCAGGGCAACTACCTCTGCCCCCATATGACCCCGCACCTTTATTTCAGCTTTACCGCACGCCCTGATAGTACTTACGATCCCGTGAAATTTTTGATGAGAAAAGTTATTATCTCGGGAATCACGATGGCTGGAGGCTTGGAGTTTTACGGCAATGTTCCTGCTCAGCAAATTTAGAATACGACTTCCCGCAAGCGCAATATCACGTACGCCCCCCCCCCC